TGAGAAGTTACTAGAATTAAAAGAGAGTCCACAACCACCTTGATGAGACGATTGACATTAATAGGAAAATATTAACTACTTAGACTATTGATGAGAGGACAAAGGAGATGATATATATAGTACGACACAATTCGAAAACCTGGTTTAGGGTTTTCAACTCTATTAAAAACAATCTTAAAAAAATATGACACTTAATCTTAAAAATTAAAAAAGTTTTCGAGCTGGCCCGATTTCGAGCTGGCCCGAGTTCGACCGGGCTAATTAAACCACACAAATCTTGAGTCCGGACGGGCTTAGCGAGAAAAACCAGACTTTTATGAATATATATATATATATATATATATATATATATATAATTTTGAGCCCGCTATTTTTAAGGCTTTTGACGTAATCGACATGCCTATGTATCTGTTCTCTCTTTTCCATTTTCTGTTAAAGTATTTATTATTTCACGTATATATTTTCTAATTAGGAACAGGTTTAGGAATAAATTCTAAAACACATACCTAAATAAATGATTAGGAATATAAGAAATCCCACGACATATCTTATGCACCATGTTCGGAGATTGAATTTCATAGATTCGTAAAATAAAAAATTATAATTATTGTTTTTAAAATTTAACTCACATTTATTTAATTTTATGGTCATATAACCTAAAAACCGAGATACTTTTTCAATGTTGATATTGTAAACTATATATGAAAAGATTAAATGTAAAAAATGAAAGGCAAGTTTGTGAACAAAATAATAATGGATGAAAATTTGAAATTTACTATTTTGACTCTCTTTTCTATTATAATTTTTGAATGTGAAAAATTAGTGAATTTAATTCATCTATTTATATTATGTATATTATGTATATTGACCATTCAATTTTTAAAGATTGAGCAAGTTTTAAGATTTTTCAAAAAAAGTGGGCAACACACTTCGCATATTTTTACAGGGTTTGCTAATTTAAAACGTAATAACAATCATCCATTGGAATTCTAATTTTAATTTTTCGGGAATCGTGCTTTTATAGCGCTTCTAAATTCATGTTGTTTCTTGAAAGGTCATTACACCTTCAAGCAAGCCTTTTTGCAATCTAATTAAAATTGTTATAGATTATTGTTATGTAAAACTGGGAAAAACAAAGTGACTCGTTTATAATGCTATTATTATATCGTTGAAAATTTTGGATATAAATCGTAAACCTAATCTTATTTTTCAACTAAAAAAAAAAGAAAAAAAAATGGAATCGTTAACATTATTTTTAATTAAATTCTACTTTTTGGTAGGAGGAAGTGCGCCAATAGTTTTTGAACACTGTTCCTTTAGCATAGGAGGAAAAAACGGATTGAATGGAAGTTGTGGAATGCAATTGGTTTCAGCTTCCAAAATTGCTTTGCAACAAGCAGGGCCTATGTTTCCAAACTTTCCAATGAGTATAGATTGCGAAAACTCTGCGATACACCCTGGAATATTCATAAAAGATGTCAAACATTTTGTTATATCAGGTAATCCTGGTACACCGGGACTCGGTAGGAATGGAAATGGAAAAGGAAACGGTGCCGGAAATTGTGGTAATTGAGCATTGCAGACA